AAAATTTCGTCCATAACTTTGGACTGTATCGTGTTTACTAATTGTAATGGACAGACGGACGGACGGACACACATGTTTAGATCGACTCAGCTAGTCGAGATATGACGATCGGTATACTTTGGGGCTACACAAAGCTGTAATAGGGTATAAATATTAAAAAAAAAAAATCCACGCCTAAGGCTAGACCCTGAAATAATATTTTTACAAAATCCACGCCTAAGACTAGACCCTGAAAACATATTTTAAAAAAAAATCACGCCTTCGGTAGCTACTCGAAAAAATGATTTAAAAAAATACAAGCCTTTCGAAGCTAGTTTAAAGTTACTTCAAACAATTTGTTTTTTTTTTTTCAAAAATAAAAACTTGCTGTCGTTTTTTCTGTCCATTCTACTCACCTGATAGGTTGAACAATTGAAACAATGCCAGCAGCAGCTCTCACCCTCCACATATTTTTTCGCCTGACCCCTTTCGCATTCCAAACTGCAAACGGATTCGGGTGGTTTGGGTTGCAACATTTTAAATTGGACCTCTGAAAAATAGAACAGAAATATAGGTAAAAAATTAGCTATTAGATAAAAATTTGAAGCAAGGCGTATGTGTAATATTTATTGAATAATTATACATTAATAATTTTTTTTTTAGTAAATATATTTTTCTAAATTTATAAATATATTTTTAACGTTTTAAATTCACTAAGATATTATTTTTATTAATAAAATTCAAATTTTATTGAGATTAACTAGTTCACTTAAAAATGTAAAACAATAAAAATAATTTTGTTTATCCAAGAATCCAATTAAAATTCCCCTTCACAATATTAGCCACATTTTATATAGTTTCCTTATGTGTCAAATACACATCACCTCAATGTCCATTAAATTTAAAATTGCCAATTTAAAGTAGGATGTTAATTTATTTTAGTAACAACTATTTATATGAGCGTATGAGTAATATTAATTATATTTGTAATTAATTAATCATATGCCTCTTAGCCTATGAAATACGAGTATGAAAATAAATCAAATACTTATTGACACATTTTCCCATTTAAGAATTTTGTTAATGCAAATTCATGATTTCTACTCATAAAGACATAGACGTAGGCTACAATGTCCTTGAAAAAATATTCTTAAAATATGGAGGTCTTTGAAAGTATTATTGAAGTAATTTGCGCCTGGGAGGTCCTTGAAAGCTTTATCTAAATAATCAATGCCTTGTGGGTCCTACAGTAAAATTTTTCTAAATAATCTCAGTCTGAAAAAAAATCTTTAAGAAGTCTACACCTTGTAGGTTCTTGAAAAAATATTATTTAATAAAATCATCTCCTTAAATAATCTAAGTCTAGAAGATTGAGAAAATATCTGTGAGATAATCAATGTGTTGCAAGTCCCTGAAAAATATTTTTTTTTAATAATCCACCTCTTAAAGGTCCTTGGAAAAATATTTTTTTAATAATCCATGTCTTGAAGAGTCCTTGAAAAAATATTTTTTTAATAATCCACGTCTTAAAGAGTCCTTGATAAAATATTTTTTTAATAATCCACGTCTTGAAGAGTCCTTGAAAAAATATTTTTTTAATAATCCACGTCTTGAAGAGTACTTGAAAAAATATTGCTTTCACAATCCACGCCTTAAAGGCCTTAGAAAAAATATTTTTTTATAATCCACGTCTTAAAGGCCTTAGAAAAAGTCCTTGAAAAAATATTTTTTAATAATCCACGTCTTGAAGAGTTATTGAAAAAATATTTTTTTTCTTCTACAATCCACGCTCTAAAGGCCTTTGAAAAAATATTTTTTTGTTCTACAATCCACGCCCTAAAGGCCTTTGAAAAAATATTTTTTTTACAATCCACGCCTTAAAGACCTTTGAAAAAATATTTTTTTTATAATCCACGCCTTAAACGCCTTTAAAGAAGTATTTTTTAATAATCCACGCCTTAAAGGCCTTTGAAAGAAATATTTTTTAATAATCCACGCCTTAAAGGTCCTTGAATAAATATTTTTTAATGATCCAAAACTTAAAGGTCCTTGCAAAAGTATGTTTTTAATAATCCAAGTCTTGAAGAGTCCTTGAAAAAATATTTTTTTAATAATCCACTCCTTAAAGGTCCTTGCAAAAGTATGTTTTTAATAATCCATGTCTTGAAGAGTCCTTGAAAAAATATTTTTTTTTTACAATCCACGCCTAAAAGGCCTTTGAAAAAATTTTTTTAATAATCTACGCCTTCAAGGTCCTTGAAAAAAATAATTTTTTAATAATCCACGCCTTAAAGGACCTTGAGAAAATATTTTTTTAATAATCCACGCCTTAAAGGTCCTTGAAAAAATATTTTATTTTTAATAATCCACGCCTTAAAGGTCCTTGAAAAAATATTTTATTTTTAATAATCCACGCCTTAAAGGTCCTAGAAAAAATATTTTATTTTTAATAATCCACGCCTTAAAGGTCCTTGAAAAAATATTTTTTTTAATAATCCACGCCTTAAAGGTCCTTGAAAAAATATTTTATATTTAATAATCCACGCCTTAAAGGCCTTTGAAGAAGTATTTTTTAATAATCCACGCCTTAGAGGTCCTTGCTGAAGTATGGTTTTAATAATCCACGCCTTAGAGGTCCTTGCTGAAGTATGGTTTTAATAATCCACGCCTTAGAGGTCCTTGCTGAAGTATGGTTTTAATAATCCACGCCTTAGAGGTCCTTGCTGAAGTATGGTTTTAATAATGCACGCCTTAGAGGTCCTTGCTGAAGTATGGTTTTAATAATCCACGCCTTAGAGGTCCTTGCTGAAGTATGGTTTTAATAATGCACGCCTTAGAGGTCCTTGCTGAAGTATGGTTTTAATAATCCACGCCTTAGAGGTCCTTGCTGAAGAAGTATTTTTTAATAATCCACGCCTTAGAGGCCCTTGCTGAAGAAGTATTTTTTAATAATCCACGCCTTAGAGGTCCTTGCTGAAGTATGGTTTTAATAATCCACGCCTTAGAGGTCCTTGCTGAAGTATGGTTTTAATAATCCACGCCTTAGAGGTCCTTGCTGAAGTATGGTTTTAATAATCCACGCCTTAGAGGTCCTTGCTGAAGTATGGTTTTAATAATCCACACCTTAAATGTCCTTGAAAAGGTATGATTATAATAATCCACACCAAATAGGTCCTTGAAAAAATATTTTTATATAATCCACGCCTTGTAGATCCCTGAACAAATATATTTTCAAATAAGCCCCTCCTTATAGGTTATTGATTTTTTTTTTTTTTTTTTGAGAAAGAAATCCCCACCTTAAAAATATCCTTTAATAGTTCCCCCTCAATAAAATGTTATTTCCGCCATTGCTTTGAAGTTGTTTTCATACATGTATGTGTCTATGTAGTCGTCTCCAAATTAAGTTTTAATATCCAGGTGTTGGTAAATTTTACTAAACCATAGATGTCAATTGATTTAACAATTGCTGAGAAAACCAACATTTCTAATTAAATTTTTTTGCATAGTTTTTTGTGTTCAATAATAGAATGTGGTTTACTAAAGTTTTAGAAAATAAACATGAAATATTAAAAAAAAAAATAAAATAAATAAATAACCCAACTACTGCAACTGGCAGGAGAATCTTGTTAAAAAAATAGAACTACAAAATAAAAAGAACATCCTTTTCAAAGGACATGTCCGCATGCCATGTTTATTTAAGTTGTGTGTTTTTTCAAAACTTTAATTTAAATCCTTAGGCCACAATCTTTTATTTAGAAAAATAATAAATTCCAGTGTTTCATTGTAAGGCCAGGAGTTCCTTTTATGTTTGTCTGTGTGTGTGTGTGTTTATTTCAATTCTATGTACCTTACAAGTTACATAGTTGACCTTTTCTCTAATCCTGTCATTGTAAGATATTTAAGTTATGACAATTGTAAATTGCAAAGAATGTTCGCAAAGAATGGCAAAAGGAACTACAGGTATTTGTGTTGGGGGCATTATGTGGGTGTGTGTGTGACATACACACACTTACACAATGATACAATTAAGAACTAAGTTAAAACTACAAGGAAAGATTACAATGAAATCCGGTAGGACTCAACTCAACAAATACTTTTCCAAGGATTAAAAAATATATTTGTCAAGGACCATAAATGGGAGTGGATTATTTCAAAGATCTGACAAAGGCATGGATTTTTATACCCTACACAATTATGTGTCAGGGTATTATAGCTTTGTACAGCCCCCCATACTTTTATGTGAAAAATTGCAAAATTTGTATTTTATAGCGTATATATATACACCTGAAGGACATAGACCCGAGAAGTTGATAGTTTATCCAAGAGGTTTGCCTTTAAATTGATACCAATTATATTCCGTATGTGGAAGTTACACTTAAATATTTAGAGTTGATTTCGTATTCATATATTACTTAGTAACCCATTACCACATTAGAAGACGGAAATATAGCGCTGATCGCTTTGAAATGTTCCATGACGTTCCAGTTATGGTCAAGGACAACGTCTATAATTTTCGGTGATGATCAGATAATAATTTTGGGATGAAGGGGACCGAAAACTCCATTTTTTGTATTTTTTTCGAGCCGATCTATATGCCACATTTAAAGGTGAACATCACAACACAACCCAATGCGAAGGGAATCTGGACAAGTAATTAGAAGGGCTGTAGTGAATATAAGTAATATTTGTTGACCTCTAGTCGGTCCAGAGGGTGCAAATATTGCGAGATATTGCCGGAGCTCAGAATATAGAACCACAGAAAGTTATATTTTCGTGGAAGTCGTGTAGGGTATCATATGGTCGGCCCCGTCCGACTACACTGCTCCGCTCACTGGTTTAAAAATATGTTCCAAAGCCCTAACTTTCATATTATAAAGATCACTACCTCAGGTTTTTTTTTAAATATTTTTCAAGTCCAAAAAATAGCATTAAAAAATTCCAAATCATCAAAATAAACCAAAATATTTCAATGACATACAACGCCCATTTTTGGTCCTTGGTCTTCTAAAAAAAAAAATACCTCAACCACATGCGGATTATAGGACACGTGTTTTTATACCCTTCACCACACTGTGGTACAGGGTATTATGTCTTTGTGCATATGTTTGTAACAGGCTAAAGGAAACAAGATAGACACATGGTTTCTTTTGAGAATATGCATAGAATCAATTTCTAAGTCGATTTATGCATATCCGTCCGTCCGTCCGTCTGTCTGTGCATGCTAAATTGTAAACAAAGTACAGGTCGCATTTATGATCCGAATTGGATGAAATTTGGCATAGGTCACGTATTCGGCCCAAGGACGAACCCTATTGAAATTGGGAAAAATCGGTTCAGATTTAGATATAGCTCCCATATATATATTTAACCGATTTAATGTAAACGGTACCTATATATCTTTCGATTTGCACGAAATTTGGTACAGCCTAATCATTTAGGTCTAGAATTATGTCTGCCAAGTTTCGTGAAAATTGGTCCAGATTTAGATATAGCTCCCATGTATAGTTTCGTCCGATTTCATGTAAATGGTGCACCAAAGTCCCTACATATCCTTCGATTTGCACGAAATTTGGCATAACGTACTGAATTGAGCCTAGAGTGATGTCTGCCAAGTTTTGAGAAAATCGGTTCAGATTTAGATATACCTCTCATATATAGTTTCGTCCGATTTCATGTATATTGGGCCCCAAAGTCCCAATATATCTTTCGATTTGCACGAAATTTGGCATAACGTACTGAATTAAGCCTAGAGTGATGTTTGCCAAGTTTCGAGAAAATCGGCCCAGATTTAGATATAGCTCCCATATATAGTTTCGTCCGATTTCATGTGAATGGTGCCCAATGTCCCTATATATCTTTCGATTTGCACGAAATTTGGCACAACGTTCTGAATTGAGCCTAGAGTGATGTCTGCCAAGTTTCGAGAATATCGGTCCAGATTTAGATATAGCTCCCATATATAGTTTCGTCCAATTTCATGTATATGGTGCCCAAAGTCCCTATATATCTTTCGATTTGCACGAAATTTGGCATAACGTACTGAATTGAGCCTAGAATGATGTCTGCCAAGTTTCGTAAAAATCGGTCCTGATTTAGATATAGCTCCCATATATAGTTTCGTCCGATTTCATGTAAATGGTGCACCAAAGTCCCTATATATCTTACGATTTGCACGAAATTTGGCATAGCGTACTGAATTGAGTCTAGACTGATGTGTGCCAAGTTTCGTGAAAACCGATTGAGATTTAGATAGTGCTCCGTTATATCATAGATTGATTTTAAGGAATTGACGCACCAAGGATCCAATATATGGCTGATAGGAACGTACTGAAATTGGTATTACGTACGTACTGAAATTAGTATTACCTAACCTGTGACAAGTTTCGTTGAAATCGGCATAGGAATTTGAAATTGTGCATAGAATTTCTTAATTGCTTTTTCTAGAAGAACAGACCTATTGATATTTGTTTGAAGTCGATTTACATACTTTTGTCCTATTGTAACAATCGAATGACATGTTTATGGATAGATCTGAGTCGATTCATATTTAGATAAATATCACATATTTTATTTCATCCAATTTCATGTTAATAGTCCTGTTTAATATACCCATAGTGGTGAAGGGTATCATATAGTCGGCCCCGTCCGACTTTACTACTTTCCTTACTGGGTTTTAAGACCAAAAAATTTTATTACAAAATTCCAAACCATCAAAATAGACTAAAATATTTCAATGACACTCATTGCCCATTTTTGGTCCTTGGTCCTCTAAAAAAAAATACCTCAACCTCATGCGGATTATAGGACACGTGTTTTTTTTTTCGCAAATTATAACCAAACCAGGAACATCATGCAATGGCAGATATCATCGCCAATACACCACCGAAAAAAAGCCATCCAACTGACCACCCTTCGGATATGGTATGTGACCACTTGCAGCAAATGTCAAATCGACAAAAAATGGACACAATGAAACGCTACATAGTCAACTGACAGTTGAAAAAGGTACGGGGTTTGTTAAGGTCATGACACGTGAGAGCATGGAAGAAAATAAATTAAAAGAAAAATAATAAATATTTCGTTACCACTTTTTTGCAACAGAAAAAAAATATATGTGATTTGAAAGTGGGTTAAGTTTAGTCGGGCAAGGGGCGTAGATGGTACTATTTTGTGAATGGGAGGGGTAAACCTATACCGATATTTTGTGTGACTCTTTGAATGAAGAATGTTTCTTATTCTCCTATAAAAGTTAATCCTCTCTACCCGCAACTTACATTGGAGTAGGTTGAGGAAACATCGTTCAAAATTTTATCTATTATCGTTAGATAAATTATTTGACAACGTACAACGAAAAAAATTCTTTAATTGATATAATTTTTCAATTTGAAATTTATCGTCCTACAACGGCACTCAGAGATTTATCCCTCCACGTCACAGCCTACATAGTCAAACAAATTCATGTCTTTAGCAAAAAAATAAAAAAAAAAATACCAAATCCAATGACCCCCTGTCATGGGTTGTAGATGATGCCGAAAAAAAAAACGTCCAGAATCAACATGGGGTATTCAGCATCATCATTCCAGCTGTTCTTGTCTGGGTTGTCTAGTTTGGTACTCTTAACATGAAAAAAATTAAATCACCATTCGAAACGCCAAAAACACCTTTATCTGGTATGCAAAATGAAATATATGACCGTATGACACTTTTTTCAGAAACTTTTAGGGGTTTCAACGTTTTTGAATAAAGGAGGAAGGGGATGAAATAAAAATTATTTAAAAAGAATTTTGGATGTTTAATATGCGTAGATTTGAAAACATATTTTCTCAAAGACTTTTGCTAGGCTTGGGTCACTATAACCCGGAACTTATGTTAAAAAACGAAATCCTTTGGAGAATATGCATAGATTTACTTTCTGAGTCGATTTATGCATGTCCCTCAATGTTAAATTGTAAACAAAGTGCAGGTAGCACAAGTCACTTACTTGGCCCAACGACGAACCCTATTGAAATTGGAGAAAATCGGTTCAGTTTTCGATATAGCTCCCATATATATTTTCGTCCGACTTTATGTAAATGGTGCACCAAAGTCCCTATATATCTTTCGATTTGCGCGAAATTTTGCATAGGGTACTGAATTGAGTCCAGAATGATGTGTGCTAAGTTTCGCGAAAATCGGTTCAAATTTCGATATAGCTCCCGTATACAGTTTCGTCCGATTTCATGTAAATGGTGCACCAAAGTCTCTATATACCTTACGATTTGCACGAAATTTGGCATAGGGTACTGAATTAGGTCCGCAATGATGTGTGCTAAGTTTCGTGAAAATCGGTTCAGATTTATATCTAGTTTCCGTATATAGTTTCGTCCGATTTAAGGTAAATTGTGTACCAAAGTCCCTATATATCATTCGATTTGCACAAAATTTGGCATTGCATACTAAATTAATTCCAGAATGATGTGTGCTGTGTTTCCTGAAAATCGGTTCAGATTTAGATATGGCTCCCATATATATTTTCGTCCGATTTTAGGCAAATAGCACACCAAAGTCCCTATATATCATTCGATTTGCACGAAATTTGGAATAGAGTACTGAAGCAAGTCCATAATGATGTGTGCTAAGTTTCGTGAAAATCGGTTCATATATAGATAAAGCTCCCATATATATTTTCGTTCTATTTTATGTAAATGGTGCACCAATGTCCCTATATATCCCTCGGTTTGCACGAAATGTGGCATAGAGTTCTGAATTAAGTCCAGAATGGTGTGTGCTAAGTTTCGTGAAAATCGGTTCACATATAGTTGTAGCTCCCATTTATATTTGCACCCGATTTTATCTAAATGGTGCACCAAAACCCTATACATCCCTCGGTTTGCACTGAATTAAGTCCAGAATGATGTGTACTAAGTTTCATGAAAATCGGATCAGATTTAGTTATAACTTTCGTATATAATTTCGTTTGATTTTAGGTAAATGGTGCACCAAAAAACCTATATATCCGTCGATTTGCACGAAATTTGGCATAGAGTACTGAATTAAGTCCAGCATGATGTGTGCAAAGTTCCGTGAAAATCGGTTCAGATATAGATATAGCTCACATATATTTTTGCATCCGATTTTATGTAAATGGTGCACCAAAAACCCTATATATCTTTCGATTTGCACGAAATTTTGCATAGGGCACTGAATTAGGTCCAGAATGATGAGTGTTAAATTTCGTGAAAATCGGTTCAGATATAGATATAGCTCCCATATATATTTTCGTCCGATTTTATGTAAATGATGCACCAACGTCCCTATTTATCTTTCGATTTGCACGAAATTTGGCATAGAGTAGTGAATTAAGTCTAGAATGATGTGTGTTAAGTTTCGTGAAAATCGGTTCAGATATAGATATAGCTCCCATATATATTTTCGTCCGATTTAACGCAAATGAGGCACCACCGTCCATATATATTTTCCGTTATGCATTGCCTACTGAATTAATGCTGTGTGCAAAGTTTCGCGAAAATCGGTTCAGATTTAGATATAGCGCCCGTATATATTCTCTTCCGATTTAATGTAAATTGTGCACTAAAAACCCAAAGTTTGACCGACTGGTGCCTGATTGATATTACATTTTAAACAGTGAAGCATACCATATTGCGTGTGTAAAGTTTGCTTTTACTCTATTTACAAAATTTCGAATAGGTTGCAGAATGGCATATGTGGGGTTGATGTTAGTCGGTGTACTTATAGATAAAGATAACATATTTAAGTTCGTCCAACATATGTAGAATATACCCAAAGTGGTGAAGGCTATCATATAGTCGGCCCAGTGCGACTTTACTACTTTCCTTACTGGTTGGTATTCCAACACTCAATGTTTCGTTTAATTTTTTTTCGTACTCACCTGACATATTTAAGCGCAGCTCTCCCTCATAGTATTCACCAACTTTGACCCAATTATATTGACCCTCCTTGATCTGTTTAAAGTGGATAATGTTATAACGAGCTGGACCATCACCATTATTATCGAAACGGAAGTGATCACCACTGAGGCCTGGAATTATATAAACAAAAAATAAATAAAAATTTAAAATCAAATTAAAAATAATAAAAATATTTCTTTGACAAAAATAATATATATATATATTTCTGAATTATATAAATTATTAAAAATAATGATTAAAAAATTCTAATATATAACTATAATAACTTATCCATGTCACTAAGACCTGGAAGTTTATATTAAATTGTATAATAAAAATATATAGGCTGTATAATAAATATAAATATATTTTATTATTAAAAAAATTGTAATAAGTAATAAATATAAAAAAAATATTATAAAAAAATGTGTGTTTGTATATTTGCCAATTTTTTAAATAAATAAATAAAAATTTATTATATATTTATATTTTAATATATTTGTATTACATTACTTGGAGGTCAGTGACCAAATATTTATTTAATTTTTTGTAAAAATTATTTATAATTATTTATATTTTAAATACAATAATTAACTTATCTTTTCTTCGATACTCACCCTCAAATTCCACTTTACGTAAAAATCGCAGTAAATCTGCTCCCTTTGTTGGTTTCATTGCCTCACACAATGATGGCTTGCCGCCGCACAATTCTCGATGCATATCTCTGGGGAATTAGAAAACGACGATGATGATGAAGAAGAAGAAAATGACAAGAGAATATGAAATGATATAAGTCATCAAGCTAATTGTTAATGTGAACTACTGCCAAATGCCGATAAGCTAACTAAAATGACCTTGAACTTAAATGCGAAATGTGAGGCATTAAACCAATACAATCATATTCAAAAGGGAATTTTTGTGATTGCAGTTGTATAATTTTAAATTTTAGTAATAATTATTGATAACACTTTGAGCCAAAATCAAGGTCATGGTCAGGGGTGTAAATTCCTATTGGGGATGAAATTCCCTAGTGAGTATATGAATATCCCAGGAGGAAAAAATCACCATGGGTCATGGAAAATATGGTGTTATTATTTTATGTTGGCGACCCCATTATCATATCTCCGTTTGGGGTTTTCACATACCCACCAAAGTTATTCACCGTAAATAAGAATTTTTCACACCCAAAATTTTGAAATAAATATTTATTTAATTAAAATTAATTAAAGAAATATAAGTTTTTTAAATATATTTTCCTCTTACCTCAAAGCATAGGCAAATGCCATAACCGCATCGCTAACAAACTGCAGTTGATCCTCAAAATCTGTGTCCTCACGGCTCAGACGTTCAGTTTTGGAACACGTACGATTATAATTGTTGTACGGGGTACTGGAACTGCCAGGATAACGACACTGGAAATGGTCTTCCCAGAATTCTAAAAATGAAAAAGAAAAAAAAACATTTGAATTTTGAAATTATCTCTTAAGTGAATTGGTATTATTTATCCTTTGAAGATATCCTTTAAAGGACTTGGTATTATTTCCAGTAACATAATTAGACATTGTTATCTGCTGATTTTTTTTTTTTTTTTGAAATAACTCCTCTAAAAACTTACCCACAAACCATGGATTCCGTAAATTGTTCTCAACTGTCAAATTGAGAAAATATTCCTCAAAACCCTTAACAGGATTTGCCTGAGGCTGCACAGAAAGGGTGCCTTCGACCTAAAAATTAAAAAAAACATGTTAAATAATTTATTATATGAAATAATATAATAAAAAACCAGTGAACGGAGCAGTATAGTCGACGAGGCCGACCATACGATTTTCTACACCAGGGACGTACGCAGGGGGGAGGCCCGGGGGGCCCGGGCCCCCCCCGAAATGAAAATTGTTCACAGTAAATTTATGTTCGCAACAGCGATTTTTTCATTTTGTACTACCGGGCCCCCCCCCCCCCCCCCCCCCCCCCCCCCGAAATGAAATCCTGTGTACGTTACTGTTCTACACAACTACCACGGAACTCTAAGTTCTGCGGATGTTTATTCCGACCCTGACAATAATTCGTGATATTTGCACCCTATTGCTCGATTAGAGGCCAACAGCATATCTTCCTAACACTGACATATTTTCCGAATATTATAAATATTCAGTAAAGCTCTTCTAATTACATGTTAAGATTCCCTTCACCGTGGGTGTTGTTGTTATGTTCGGCTTATAATTGTGGCCTGTATATCGTCTCCATAAAAACACAAAAAATTAAGTTTTCGGTTCACTTCATTCCAAAATTATTATATGATCATCACCGAAAATTATAGGCGTTGTCCTTGGCCATAACTGGAACCTCATGAAAAATTTCAAAGCTATCAGCGATATATTTCCGCCCTCTGGTGTGGTATTGGTTACTAAATAATATATGAATACGTAAACACCTGTAAATATTTAAGTATAACTCCCGCATTCGAGAACATACGACAATATAATTGGTATAAATTTAAAGGCCAACCAATCCTCTTGGATAAACTATCAACTTCTTGGCTCTATGTCCTTCAGGAGTAAATACATACGCTATAGAATACAAACATTGTCAGTTTTCACACAAAAGTCAGGGTTCATTTGACCAGCTAAATATTGACCCATCTTTATCAAAACAGGCACGCTTGTTCCTTGGCCCGAAAAATTGCGTGATTTTCTGACCATAGTTGCGGCCTCTAGAGCGACCAGAAAAACCGACAAAAATTAAATATTTGGTCCATTTCATCCCCTAAATATTAACCGATCTTTACCAAGAACAGTAGGGGCCTTCATTGGTCAGAACCCACCCTACATGCAATATTTCGTGAAGATTGGTCCATAAATGTGGCCTGTATCGTGTTTACAAATTATAATGGACAGACCGACGGACACACATGTCTAGATCGCCTCAGCTAGTCGAGATATGACGATCGGTATACTTAAAGGTGGGTCTAGGACCAATATTTCGCGGCGTTACAAACGTTTGGGGCTGCACAAATCTATAATACCCTGACAATATAGTTGTGTAGGGTATAAAGGGAGTTATATGAGGACTACCCCTAAAAAGGGGTGAATATTAATAATTGTTGGTGGGGATATTTGTTACCATATACGACTACAAAATGTGAAATTTCAGCGAATTCGGTTGAAAAACTCGCTCAAGAACCTCAAAATATCGACAGTTGGGTGTACCCTTAGAACTCAAATTACTAAATTACAGCCAATTCGGTGAAAAAATCAGATCAAAACCCCCCAAAAACTGGAAATTGGAAGGTACCCTTATTGTGGGCTACCAGAAAAAATGGACCTATATTTATAGTTTTTAGTGGGGAAATATGGTACCCAATAAGAACTCAATGTACCAAATTTCAGCGAATTCGGTTGAAAAACTCGCTCAAGAACCTCAAAATATTGAAAATTGGGCGTACCCTTATGTGGGGGCTACCTGAAAAAAATGACCTATATTCATAATTTTTTGTGGAGATATTTGCTACCCAATAAGAACTCAAATTACTAAATTACAGCCAATTCGGTGAAAAAGCTGGAAATTGGAAGGTACCCTTATATGGGGGCTACCAGAAAAAGTGGACCTTTATTTATAGTTTTTAGTGGGGAAATTTGGTACCCAATAAGAACTCAATGTACCAAATTTCAGCGAATTCGGTTGAAACCCGCGCTCAAGAACCCTAAAATTCCAAAAATTGGAGGGTACCCTTATATGGGGGCTAGCCGAAAAAATTGACCTATATTTATAATTTTTAGTGGGGAGATTTGCTACCCAATAGGAGCTCAAAGAACCGAATTTCAGCGAATTCGGTCGAAAAATGCGATCAAACCCCACCAAAATACCGCAAAATTCGGGGGTACCCTTATATGAGGGCTATGCGAAAATATGGACCCATATTTATAATTTTTAGTGGAATGATTTGCTACCCAATAAGAACTCAATGTACCAAATTTCAGTGAATTCCGTTGAAAAACGCGCTCAAGAACCTCAAAATACCGAAAATTTGGGGGTACCCTTATATGGGAGCTATGCCTAAAAGTGGACGCTAGAGTGATTACAACAGACAGACAGACGGACATGGCTATATCGTCATAGAATTTTACGCTGATCAAGGATATATATACTTTATAGGGTCGGAAACAAAAGTAATATACCCTCCATACTATGGTGGAGGTTATAAAGAAGCCATTTTAAATTTCTGTGGTCTAAAAAGGCATTTCAAGACCTTTAAACGCTTCTATCGCCTAAAAAAACCGTTTTAATTTTCTGTGGTCTGTGATCTAAAAAAGGCATTTTAAGGCCTTTAAACGCTTCTATCGGATAGAAAAGACATTTTAGGTCCTTTAAATGCTTATGTCGCCTATGGTAGACCACTAAATAATATTTAATATTTTAAATGTATATTTAAAATATCCACGCCTATTGTAGGGCACTTAAAAAGCATGTTTAAATACGCACAGATTATTTATCTCCATCGTAAAATATTTAAGATAATGTTTCAATTCTATAAAAACATCTACTGCCGAAGAATCTTCACCCATTCGGCCCGCAGGCCATAGGCCACAATTGCAGTGATTGCCATTAAAATAACTCATTGGATTATGTCCTCCTGGATTTTCCTACAAATTCCAGGGATGTTTTGAAAATTTACCTTTAATAGATTTTAACCAGGCAACAAATAACAATGTTTCCACACACACTCTCCACCCCCC